GAGGGGGGAGGCCGGGGGAACCCTTTAGATCCGGCGGCTGCGGAGTTCTACCCGGTGGCAGGCCAGTTCGCTCTCGGCCACCCGCAAATTTACTACAGCTACCCTCCTCCCCCTCCGCTGGCGGTCGCGCTTCCGGTGTTCCACCACCAGCAGCCGCAGCAGGTGGAGATGGCAACGGGGACGAGGGCTGTGGTGCTGAGCATGGTGCCCCGGCACGTGGGGGAGGCCGAGGTGAGGGCGGGGATGGAGGCGTTCGGCGGAGTCCGGGCGGTGGAGATGGGCGCGCTGGCTGCGGACGGGGTCGTGACCGTGCACTTCTACGACCTGCGGAGCGCGGAGGCGGCGGTGGCGGAGGTCCGGGAGCAGCACGCGCGGCGGCAAGCCCGGATCGGGTACGGCGGCGCACCCGGGAACTGGGCGCCGCCGTGGCTGTACCGCTCGCCGGAGCTCGGCGGCGGCAGCGGCAGCGGGCTGGGGACGATAGCGGGCTACGCCGTCTGGGCTCAGTTCGCAGCCTCATCGCTCGACGAGCCCAACCAGGGTTCTATCCTCGTCCTCAATTCCGATCCGCGCGTCTCCTTCGCCACTCTCAGAGACATGTTCGAGCCATTCGGTATATATTCATCTCTCCTGCAATCTTCGTTCTCATAGTTTCTTCTTTTCCTCATACTTCTTGTGTCGTTTCAGTTCTCTATATTCCCATCCTCCCAAAGATAGATCGATCGAGGAACAACAAATCGTAATTATATTGCATATTTCACCTGCAATAACTATTGGGCCCGATTTACTTTGTTTCATCGTTGTCGAGTAAGAGACAACGAATTCTATTATGAAGGCATCTGTCGTCCTCAGTTTCATCATTCTTGCCGTATGGCCTTTTGTTCACTCACACATATCGTCGTCTTTCACCTGACAGGAGCTCTCAAAGAGGTGAGGGAGACGCCCTCGAAGCCGCAACACAAGCTCGTGGAGTTCTTCGACACGAGGGACGCAGCTCGCGCTCTCGCCGAGCTCAACGGGAAGGAGATCAATGGCAGGCTGCTGCTGCTGGAGTTTGGTACACCTGGTAGCGGCCAAGGCCGGAGGTCTTACTCTTCTTACTCCAAGCTTTGTTTCGCTTGTTCGTGGATCCTCGACGGATTACCGATGGTGTAAGTTTCGCATGCTACGACAGCAATTACCCGAGGAGGGAAGCCGTGCACGGCCACGGCCTCCGCGGTTCCCCCTTGCCTCCGAGGTTCCTGCGAGGCGGTTCACAGCCCAGCAGATGGTCACAAGCAAGTGGAGCTTCCGCGAGATCATCCTCCTCGTCCTCGCTTCCCGGAGCAAGCGGGGAAGCAAGCCAGGGATCTACGGTGGTGCCAAAGAAGACCAGTACCAATACGGCTCCCGCTGCTGTTACCAGAAGACGCGGAAGTAACAGTAGTGGTGGGAGGAAGGCCAAGAGCAGCGGCAGCTCCAATCGTCCCTCATCGTCATCGTCGCCGCCGCCACCGCAGCAGCAGCAATCGAGCGGCGGCAGCAGGAGGAGTTGGAAGAACCGAAGCAAGAGCGGGAGCAGCGAGTCGAGGTTCCTCTTCAAGGAAGTGGAATCGGAGGAATCATCCGAATCCTCTTGTAGGGATTCCAGAACTACAGTCATGATTAAGAACATCCCAAACAAGTACAGGTCCCCCACTCCTCCCCTCCCCACCACCTCAAAGTATCTTATCCAGATGTCGGAGTTTCTACATACATATGATCTCCATTGGTTAATTACATGCATCCTTCACTCGGTTCTATTTCTCTCTCCGGAATGCAGTCAGAAGCTGCTGTTGAACATGCTCGACAACCACTGCATTCAGTGCAACGAGCAGACTGGCGAGGGAGCCGACGAGCCCTACTCCGCCTACGACTTCGTCTACCTACCCATCGACTTCAAGTAAGTTTTTGAATCTAGAGATAGATAGATAGATAGATAGATAGATAGAGAGAGAGAGAGAGAGAGAGAAAGAGAGAGGAGGTCGTCGCAGATATATATATATATGCTAAGAGAAAGAGGGAGGAGGAGGGATCACAAGCCAAGACGGGCAGACGAGGGGGATCGCTGCCGGCAGCTGCTGCTGTTTCACGAGCTGGTCTCTCATTCCCGTACGCTGCTGCGTCCAAATGGCTTTAGAGACCCTAATGGCAATGAGATCGCTGGCTGGCACATAAAGACAGATCCCCTCTTTCCTTTCTCTCTCACCGCGATCTCACCTCCCTCCCGCTGGAGCAAAGATATCATTCACTCACTCCAAGTGTGTGAAACCGTGAAAGGAGAATGAACCCATCAAACCCTAATCAGCAAGCAAGGCTTGCAGACATCATAGAATATAAACAGAGTCATCCGTCGTGATCATACTTGTGCTTCCACCAGTTGATGAGACACAGCAGAAGGGTTTCAGAGATATTACTGATTAAGGCCTTTTTGTTTTTTTCTCTCATCAGAATCCAAAGTAGGAAAAGCAGCAGAAAAATTATTAGAAAGCTAATTGTCGTTTGGAATAGTGTTTGTGTAGTAGCAGTAGTAGTCATTGGATTGACTCGTGGCTTGTTGACGTTGTGAAGCAACAAGTGCAACGTTGGGTACGGGTTCGTGAACTTGACGTCGCCGGAGGCCGCGTTCAGGCTCTACAAAGCCTTCCACCAACAGCCATGGGAGGTCTTCAACTCCCGCAAGATCTGCCAAGTCACCTACGCTCGGTTGCAGGTTGCTACAGGTCTCTCTCGTGTTCGTCATTGTCTTCTACTGTTACCTACCTGAATTCTCTTTCAAGGGATTGGAGGCGCTCAAGGAGCACTTCAGGAAGTCCAAGTTCGCGTGCGACAACGACGAGTACATGCCCGTGGTCTTCTCTCCGCCCCGCGACGGGAGGCAGCTCTCGGAACCTGTCCCGGTCGTCGCCGTCGGCAGCGAGCAGCGCCTCGAGGACCTTTCCTGGACGCACTGCCAAGGCACCGACCTCGCCGACGCGTCGCAGCAGGTAGCCGACAGCGGCGGAGCGTCCTCCACCACCACCTCGACCCACGCGCCATCCGACAACGCCGACGGCGGCGATGATGATGATGATGACGACGATGTGGTCGGCAGCGGCGGCGGTGACGAGACCAGCGTAGGGCTGAGCGAAGCTGTGCTGCACCTATCCTTCAACTAAATGATCGACTTCAGAGCACTGTGTACCGGTCGAGTCGATACATCCCATCTCACGCCAGGCGCCCATAGACATCTTTCTCCGGCCTCTTTTCTTGGATAATTTAAGCTTGCAATGACAGCATCCGAGTGTCTTCAGAATACGGTGGTCAAATTATGGTTGTTGATGATGATATTGTTCTTCACATAAATCATTATTTTATGCTATATATATATATATATATATAGTAGAAGAAAAAGAAGATAAATGTTTTGACTACATTCTCCACAAGGAGAAGAAGCGGTTCTAATTAATGCAAAGGGTGTCACCACCGGTCGTAGTCTGCTCTTGGGAAGACCTATGGAGCCGACGTGGTTGGAATCACAGGCGAGGCGGCAGGCACCTTTAAGATGATGGACGATACATTACGTATCAGGGCTGGAACGCCAGCACTCCCACCTTATCATTCCTCCAACATAATTGGCCGGCGGACGGTGTGATGGGGCGCAGTCCTTGTCCATCGTTCCATCACTGTGTGCACCTGTACGTTGCCGCCCTTTTACTGTCGTCGCTGATACGAAGAATACCGTTCTACGAATAGCAGCAGAGAGAGGCGATGTGAGGGGGCGTCGCATTGTCCGGGTATTGGGATGTTCTGCATGCAAAGGGAGGGAAGGGGCGGGCGTGGGACGACGTTTTTGAGGGAAGACGAAACGCCAAGGGGGGAGAAGACGAAGGGGAAAGGGACAGGGAGGGCTCGAACATCGAGGCGGCCAGGGTGGGGTTGTCAGAATCCAAGTGCCCGACAGGTAGACGCGTCGAACACGTAGGCCGATATCCCCCATGACGTGTCCTTCCCCGTCCCCACCCCCGGTCAGCGCCATTGACCGACGCTTCACGGCTCGAGCCAACTATCACGCAATTGTAGTTATATTAGTTATTAAATTGATGGATGTTAATTTCGGTCTTTTTTGATATATTCGAGTAGGTTAATGTATTATTGTATAAAGTGATAATTCTCATATTCGAACCTAAAATATCTAATAATTATATATATATATACAATTTTGATCGATTAGTATATTATTATATAAATAATAAATCTTTAGCAAATCATTTAATATAATATTTTTTAAAATTTGTTAAAATATACATGAGATAAAATATTAATTTAATTTAATTTTTTAAAATTATTAAGACTCGATATTTTATTTCACTATTTCAATTCTTATCAATATATCATTTTCAAATAAAAAATTAATTATTATTATTATATATATATATATATATTCTCGAAAAATCTTTCTAATATTTCCACGATCAATTGATTTGCAGAATCAATTATAGTGTTTTTGACACATTCCTCAAGACAGACACAATAAGTTTATTTTAAAATAAGATTTAAAATATGTACTCTTATTAATTTAGGGATAAGAATATGAAGTTACAATATTTTTATGTCTTCATCAAAATATTATAAGTTCATTCAAAAATATTATAATTGAACGATTAGATCATTCATCATATGCTCTAGTTGTCCTATTAGGGATATTTGAAGGACTACAATAAATGAAAAAAAAAAGTAAAAATAATTTTTTTTTCTCGAAAATTCGTCTATATACAGTATAATATAATGTATGTAAGACTATAATATACAGTATGTAAAGAGCAGCTGATGAAGTATGATTTATGTGGCACAACTTTGGTTGAGGCTGCTGCCTACACGCACGCTGCGGTACGGAGGATAAAGCAAAACCTGCAGCGGCAGCAGCACTTGGGGGCAAACACAAAAGGAGTTGGGAGTGAGAGGTGGGCAGTATACGTTCCTGAATGGCTTCTGAAAAGGATTAATCTCATCTCCTGTAGCTTTCAACTGAATCGGAGAAGTACTGACGAGCAGGCAGCCTCCAGATTAAGACCCATCACCCACCCCCCTGCTTCGCTTTTCCAGATCCCCACCATCTTTTTGGGATGCATTCCGCAGAGGGCAACGCTTGCTACCATTCACTCCTCAATTCTCTCGTTTCATTTCCCTGTTTTATGAACATTTCATATTGAAATCTAATTAGAGATCTTGAAATACAAAAGAATGAAGGAACATATCACTGCAAAGCATGCGTGTTTTTCCCAGAGAATAGAGAATGAACAACTCTAACTCATTAGATTTTGTTTGTTACTGCAATGAATGTCTATACCATGGATCAGAAGATGAGAACATGAACAAGTGAGAGTAATATAAATGGTCTCGGAGAGGCCCATGCAAGAACCCATAATGACGAGAATAATAGAATTTGAGAACAGATTTGAGGTTAGCAAAGCAACTAGCGCTGTTCACGCAAGCAGAGCAGTCTTGGGAAAGTCACAGAGATTGAAGTGTGATAGTGATGAAGTGTACAGGTCATAAGTATGCACTAAACAAAGCATAATATGGAGTTGGCAACATCAAGATGAAAGGCTCAATTGCGGGGAGTTGGGAGCGATGTTGGATCCCAATGAAATATGCAACAAAAACAATGAGTTTTGGTTTCAGGTCAATGACCGGCAAGGGCTGCACATCTCAAACACGGCATGGCTTAATCACATTCTTCCAACGGAAGACAAAAGCTTAAGGTCCTTATTTTAGGCATAAACAGGAAGTAGGAACTAAAAAAGTATGCACTCAGTTGTGATTATTATCAGCAAAAAGAAAAGTACCGGGCACCATCTTTGCGACAAAGACTAGTGGCGGTGTATCTGCACATGTTACTGCAGCTGAGGCTTTTTGAGCGAATTGATTTGCTTCGCAGGGTTCAATCCCTTGGGGCAAGCATGCACACAGTTCTGGATATTATGGCAGCGGTATAGCTTGAATTCATCATTTATTGCCTCGAGCCGCTCCTTTGTGTACTGATCCCGACTATCTTGTATCCACCTACTCAACAGAGTAAACAAACTGTTGCGAAAATATTTGTCCATAAATTGAATTAAAGAGAATCCGAGCTCCATAACAAGCAAACATGCAACAGAGGAATGCAAAAAACAAAACAGAAAGAAAATAGGAAGCATTTTCCAAAGAGTTCAACATGAAATGGCTAGGAAAAAATAGCAGAAGAGTCGTACAACGAAGAGATTATATATACCAGTCATGAGGATAGAAATTACCAACATTACATTCTTTTGCTTTCATTTTCCTTCTCTTCCACCTGTTTTCTCAACATATGCTTGTTCGCTCGAACACCATATTGCAATCACTATCAAGTAACAGTAACTAACACCAGAATTTTCAGAAAAGTATCCAGAAAATAGATACAGAAGTTTTAAGGGCTATGTCAGCCAAGCATTATTACATGATGGTCCAACAAAAGCACAAAATATTGGAGACATCATATTTTGGCCATGAACATTGCACAAAATTTTACATGTTTAGTTCTGAACAACTTCCAAATGCTATTGTTGTATCTCTACAATCAATAACTCAAGGTCTTTTAGCCACACCCAGGAACTTCTGCGCTGTGACTATAAGCTCAAGGAATTTATACCTTAATAGATATTGTTACAATTTAAAAAATATATATTATACATTAAAAAGTATGCTCAATCTCTAAGTCTTTAGAAAAAACACAATCCCATATGTACATGCACAAACAGCTATCTACTTGTCTGAGTAATTATAGTGAGATGAACCACAATCCAGTAATCCACAAGTATTTTAAGTGGCTCATGCTTTAGATAGAATGTATGAATTAAGCAATCAAAGATATCCGTGTAGAAAGCAAAACCTTGTGTTTTCTCTTTCCATAAGAAACCTACTTGATCCTTAAAAGCAGATTGAATATAATGGATATATTTGCAGGTCAGAGATCGTCAACTGCAACTTGGATAAAGTACATATTTTACCTACTTCCCCACAATCCTGAATATGGAATACTTCAGAAAGATGGATTTTGGTATTTAAGTAGGACTCATTTGATCAAGCTGTCTAGACTACATGACAGTGGATACCAACATGCCAATAACTATAACACAAACTAACTCATAAGCTAATCGACCCATAAATTAGTATTTATCTATTCGCTGAAGTTGCAAAAGTTCATTCACCTTTGCCAAATAATTGGCACCAAAGTTCGTGCCATAAAATCTGCTCACAAGTAAAAGTTCACATGGTTATTTTTGTCATTTAAAATGATACGAATGTTGTACACAACTCATCAAATTTGACACAAAGGTACACATGCTAGCATTAGCTTTCTAGGAAGCACACAATGCTTTCCTTACCCCAGCCATATCAGCATACAGAGTCCTAACAAATGGTGGCAGTTACAGAAAATATATCATAGCAGCAAGCAAAGAATAAAGTCAAGGTGTTTAGGAGTTGCATAATTCTGCATTAAACTTATTTGCCGCACTTCAATACATATCTGATATCAATTTCCTTTCAAATTTTTAGTTAATAATAGTTCTGTCTCAAAATCAATTAGATACATAACAATAGCAGTGACTTACCGTAGCATGTTCAGATTATAAGTAGTTCATCTGGGCTGGCAGACAATTTATGAATATTTTTGTAGTTATAACTTGTCAACAGATAAACTTGAGATACATAGTAGAACATAGTTGTAAGATGCATGGGAAAGCCCATCACTAACTTCAATTCTACTTGCCTTAAAAAATGTTTTATAGAGTACCATAACCAAATTGAAAGAATTCATTTTAACAGGTCATTTCTCAGCATCTCTTCCTATAAAAAACTGGGTGCATTACAGTTGGATTTTGCGATAGATACTTGCTTTCATATTTATTTTAGTAAATAAAATCATTTTATTTTACTGTTGGAGAATAAAAAAGGGGATTAGTGTTTACACAAAAATCAGCGAGGAAATCAGTTCCCCAGGTCTGGCAAATCTTTCAAGTATGTCTCCTCTCCCTATTCAGCATTATTTAATTCTTATCAAACTCATAAATTGTCTGCCAATGGCTAAAAAGCAGGATCTTAATATGTCATGCTTAGCCAATAAACATGTGGCACAATCATCATTGGAGACATCATCTGGCAAGCCAAGATATTTTATTCCTTGAAACAAAGATTCTGATGAAATATTGTGTAAGATAAGGAAACAAGATAACAAGGAGAGAGAAGAAAACTTGATGTCCATAGATAACTTTACTAAAAACCAAGTCTTGTGGAAGCATTTCGCAGGTTTCTTTTTATCACAGAGACTTAAACAAACATTTTGAAGAATTCAATGATTGTACAAGAATGGAAATAAAATGATAAAAAAATACTGAAGAAACAAACATGAGAAAGACCTATCTCACTACCTTGGAAATCTTAGTTAACCTAACTTTTCTTAAAGAAAGATCTAAGCAAAAGTTTCTTGGGCAACTTGCTAGTCTTAAGATATTAAGACTATGAATACTGCAAAAAATATGGAAGATATGGTACAACTAAAAGTGAATAGAAGAATACAGAACATTATCACCATAATAATGAGATGCCACTATTATAGATAAAGTAATATCTATAGAAAGATATCCCAATAAATGATAACAATATTAGGAAATTCACATGTGAATTATGGAATTCATTAACTTTACAGTATTTTCATCCCTAAATCTATGAGCATTAAGAATTACAAATAATTCTACCCCTTAATTTCCTAATGTCATGGAGAGGGTTTTTCCAGCCACAAATACAACCTTCTTAAGCACTTGATACGGGTCTTTCAGATACTCATAAGCACTTTCATTTCAAAACAAAAGAAGGGCTTAAAAAAATAATAAAGATGAGAAAATAACCAAACAGTTTCATGGTACACAGTTATCTATCACCAGGTACAACCATACAGACTTCTGCAAATTCTTGCAATGTTACAAGATGAAAATTTAGCATGTGGTTTCCATCTAAACAACTTGAGCCAGATTGTTATCCAAATAAAATTTTTATTTTATCCAAATCACAATATAATAAAACAGAAAATCATGATTCAGTAAATTATATATCAGCAACAGCATGCACTATAAAATAAAAAAATAAACTGGAGAAAAACATAAAGGCCACAACTTTAATAGTTCTTACTTCTCGAGCCCACTTTCCAGCTGAAACATTATAAGAAAAAAATTATCCATCATTCAAATATACCTGAGTACTCTATGATGTCAAAAGAAAAATAACTAAGTAGGTGCATACAAGCAAGTTTCAGTCCTTACAATGAACATGTTGGGGCTAATGATATGATCTTACATAATTTGAACATGATTGCATCAAATTATAGGTATTTTCTTCTCTTTTTTCTGAATATTTCTTGCAAATGCCAGCATATAGTGAGCTTATATTTTGGTTCTATGCGCTTTGATCATTAATATTTTTATACAGTAATGAGAATTAACAACTGCTTCACAAGAAGCTGAGACAATGATCTAAAAACACGAACTGTTCAATCTCCCCCATCATGTTATATATATTAATCATCACCTAAGAAAGAAGGACCATTGCAAGAGACGCATACATATGAAGAAAATTTCTTTGGAATAAAAAACCATATCTCTACATTGATAAATATACGATCGATGATGCAAGGGAAGGTCAAAGGAGAAGCACATACCTATGAGCGTGGAGGAGAGCCTCCGGGCCAAGATATGCCTCGGGGTTCCACCAGCAGCTGGGACACGAGGTGCTGCAGCAAGCGCAGAGGATGCACTCGTGCGTCCCATCCAGCTTTGCCCTGTCCTTGTTGCTCTGCGGGACTTCCTACCCCATCTCCGGCGGTGGGTCCTTCTGCTTGAGCCACGGCTCCACGCTCTTGTACTAGCTGTAGAAGTTGGTCATGTCCACCACCAGATCCTTGACCACGAATATGTGCGGCAGCGGCGTGATCATGGCCGCAGCCGCCGACTCTGCGGCCGGGATCTTGGTGAGGCAGGCGAGGCCGTTGTCGCCGTCGATGTTCATGGCGCAGGAGCCGCATATGCCCTCGCGGCAGGAGCGGCGGAAGGAGAGTGACGGGTCCACCTCGTTTTTTATCTTGAGGAGGGCGTCGAGCACCATCGGGCCGCACTCGTTGAGGTCGACCTCGTACTCCTGCATCTGCGGCGAGTCCGGCCGGTCGGGGTTCCACCGGTAGATCGAGAAGGTCTTGAGGCGCTTGGGCTCGGCCGATTCTGACAGGGAGGAGTGGGTCTGCGCCAGGAGCAGGCGGACGGTGGCGGTGGCGGCGGCGGCGCTAGGTCGGTGACCGGGGAGGAGGCCTCGGCGGAGAAGCACCCGCGCGGTGGCCATCACGGAAGCCAAGAGGAGCAGCGGAGACGGCGAGCGGAGGGGGGCGCACTTTTAACAGAGATCACCATAACACGACGTTGTTAATGTTAATTGTCGCGCCAAGTACGACGGTGGAAACAACCTGTGGGTGCCTCTCCATGATTCCCTACAAAGCGAACCGATCAAGAACCAACGTGAACCGTCCATTGCCACGGCCTCGGTGGGTCCAGCCATCAGGTTTGAATATGAACGGCCGGATTGTGTTGAGATTCGTACCAATGTTCGAGGGGATCCCAGCCAAACAGAATCAAGATACACCCCTGCATGAATACGGAAGCGGTAGAGGCCCATTATAACGGGTGTAACGGGGAAACACTACAGGCCGTTAATAACAGTTATAAAGCTCCGTCATCACTCTCTTTTAAAAATCTGCTGTTAAAAATAAGATAGATTATTTCAAAAGGCTAATAATAAAGGGGAAAAGATTTTACATATGACAGTGAAAAAGATCATTAAAAAAAAAATTACTGATAAAAAAAATTTTAACTTTAATTGTCTCATTCTGATCGAAACATCCCGCATCATTCAAAACGCAGATTAAAATATAAATACATATCGATTGAACATAAATTAAAATATCATTAAAAATTAAAATTCGACGGAGTTAACAAAACTTCGAGAGTTTAAACAAACTCCCCCTATCAATATGTCATATTGATAAAAACTCTTGAATTCAAAAATTTAAACATGTCATGATCAAATCATGAATGACATAAATTAAAAATAAATACAATCAATCACGAGAAATACACTTTACCACTAATTATCAATGGCATGGAGAACTTCTCAACCTAAAGGCTGCATCTTTTCCATCAAATAATAACAATTATGATAGCTATATATCAGCTCTGGCAGACTACTCTCAATATTATTATATGGCAAAGCCCATATCAACAGTCATTACTGGGAATGCAGATATTACTAAATATTCCATCTCGGCTTTCAAGAAAAAATAGCCCGCCCCTGCAGTAGATGTCCCCACAAAAGATACAAACTCTAAAGTACTTGCAACATATCGGCAGCAAGGTTTTATATACAGTACAAAAACACTGAGAAAAAAATAAAAAATATATATATAGCAACTTAATTGTTGCTGGAGAACAAAAAATACCAAAGCTGGTGGTCGTTCAGTTGTGCTAATCAGCAGTCAGATCCACCGCATAGCAATTTGGTGATTGTCAGACTAAGGTACTTTGAAGGGCTTCTCTTTCAGCATCTTCACAAGTCTGAAACTTCTCCAGATCTTCCTGTTGGTGATGCCGAAGAAGCAAAATCCATTGGATGATCAAACTTACAAGCAGGCCCATATTTGCAGATTCCGAGACGGCTATAAAATGCACAGACTGGTTGATCCTATATAAATTGATATATGTCAAGTGAATGAGAAACAATTAAAATCATAAGCAATGTCCAAAACAAATTAAGGAAATCTGAAATATGATAGAGCAGACTTCAAAAATATAATGATCCATTAGTTGCTTTCTGACATAACTGCAAAGTCTTAACACCAGAATTCTGAGCTGGACATTTGGTTGCCTAATGCAAAACCATCACAAGCAGCAAACCTGGTCTTCTCCCTTTTCTACTGACTCTAAAAATGATCCAGTTAAATATAGTATATAAAATGGCTCAATGGAAAGACCTCTGATTCATTGTGACTGAATACAGCACATAATTAACACCAAGACTCTGACTGATGCACGATCCACGAAATAGTTATAAAGATTTATTGGTGATAAAATAGATGGTACCACCCAGATAAAAGTTAAAACAGATGGGCAAAAAAAAAAAAGCACGGCAGAGTATCATTCAGACCTCAGGTATTTAGCAAACAAAACTAGAGAAACAACCATTTGTTAGTAGAACTTCAAGAATATAAACCAAAAGTTATCAAGTACAAGAATTTATAAGTGAAACTCACAGGTCTCAAGGGAAGCCCTAGAGGACTAATATTGCAACTAGAAATTCCTGTAAGGCGACTTCTTGGATGATGAAATTTACATGCTGATTTGAATTTACAATCTCCAGTCTTCATAAAGTATGGACACTCTGGTTGACCAGGTCTCTCAGGATACACCATGTCTCCCTGCTGCTGTATAGCACTTGTATTACTAATGGAAATTGCACACAAAGGCTGCTGTATATTCCTCGATGAAGGGAAAGATGGGCTTGATGGGACCTAATATAGAGGATCATAATCAAAGTCAAATAAAGCAATCTAATATCAATAAAGAAAATATAAAAACATAATATTATTTCTTTTATTAGTCAACTTGCAAAAAAGCATTCAAGAAACTAACTGTTAAGAAAAATAATATAACACTGATCTTTCTTCAGCCACTGACTAGGGTAGATAACTGAAACCATCCTTCCAGTATCAAGATTGACTGAAGAATAAAAAACAATTCTCTCTGACAATTTGACAACAAATTTTTTTCTACTATGAAGATGAAACAAAATGCATTTGTATGTTCAATCATCTGATCGACTAAAAGGGATACGGACTTCAGTGGATCAGCTTCAGTACATCCACATAGAATATGTAAACTTCAAACAGATAAAACTATTTAAAAGTTAGTTTGTGCTGAATGGTGGTAAGAACCATAAGAAGCAAGAGAAGCTCAGAAAAAGTCAAAAAAAAAATACAAGACACAAATAAGTGCACCCGTAAAGGGTTGAATCTGTGTTTATAATATTATTATTGTTTCATGATGAATAATATGCTAACTTCAATATAACCCTAACAACTTGGAGAAAATAACACCTAAAATGCAGATCAAGGTAAATATGCCAAAGTTTTCAGAAAAAGCAGATCACCACAAGAAAAAAGGAATACTAACATTCTAATGAGCCAATTAACAACAAAACTCAAAAACCATGATAGCACAATTTCAGTTACAGACTATGATATGATTCCAAAAAAGGTGTAAACTTATGCCATTTACCGTTCATTGGCATCTGTCATATACAAAATTCCTTTATTGATCAAAGCTACAAATAACTAGGGAAAAGTTATTAAACAATAACTACAAATCAAATTACCAAGAGCCCATCAAATAAATATTCTAAGAATTTTGGAACAATTTCTATAAACAGACCCGGGTAAAGTGCAACAAAAATAAGATAAATTTATCAATAGCAAAAGCAGAAAAATATTCTTTCGTCTGGAAGATGATAAATAAATACAAGCCATAAGTTACCTGGGACCTTAAGTTAGGGTTGAAGTTGAAACCTTTAGGAGGAGGGACGAAGCTTGGGATGTAAGATGGTAAGGAATCCAAGTGAGTAACTGTTTGGTTGAAGCTATGAATGTGATTTGGCATATTCATTTCCGCTGAAGCATGTCGTTTAGGAGATCCACCATTTTGATATTCCAATACACAATCTTGTGCAGTTACAACAGTAGGATCAGGATGGTTAAACCAGCAGTTACTCGAAAATTTGCAACTGCCAGTGCGCATGTAGTAGGGGCATTCTTTTTCTCCCTGGAATAATAAACACATCGAGTAGAAAAAATATGAACTCTGCAAGGTGAAAAGTCAATCAAGAAAATATATGGCACACCTCAAACTTGTCTCTAAATAACTAATATGCAAATAGATCAACAAACTTACTGTTCGGATTGGAAGCCCTAAAAAGTTAAGCCTAATTCCGGATACTTCAGGTTTTTGTTGAGAGTGAGCAAACATGCAGGAATTTCTAAACTTGCAACCTCCCGGCATTAAGAAGAACTACAAAACCAACACAAATCATTAAAACATCAAGCACCATGATAAGTAAATGACAGCAAAGAAAGTTAAAAAAACTGATTGCATTCTAGAAATGGCCAATTCATTACTAAGACAAACTTTCATCATAATTTATAAAACATTTTTTCACTAGCAAAACATGTGAACATTTCCTCAAATGAATATGTTGACATTTTAAACTGTCAATAAAACATTGAAACTTCCATCACAAGCAAAAACCTCAGATCTATAAATAGATTCTCAAGGAAACCAACTTAAAAACTAGACACACAATAAAACTAAATCATTTACATCACTTTTTGCACTTCAATCATAGAACACAAAAAATATATATACATTTTATTTGTATAATAAAAGGGATCTTCGAGACTGATGTAATTCATTATTTTCTGAGTAAATGACTTTCTACGCAACAACAAAAAAATGTAGAACTCTACCAAACACAAAAGTTAATGGAACAACCTAAGAAGACCCTTCCCCAGCCGAAATAAACGGAATGGCAGAACCTTCTAGTTATAGCCCCAGACCAGTTATTTAATTGAACTGGCACAAGGCTTAGTCAAATTCTAGACAACTGGCCCCCTTGAGCTGCTAACTGTTCAAACGATTCAAAATTTCAAGTTAAGATTATTTGACCCTTAACCTAGGGCAACACACCCATTCTGTCATTTTGTTCCACTGTTGGAATAACAATTTTTTGACACATCAAAATGAAATGACTAAGAACTAGAGCCTTGCTTAGTAATGGACCAAATTTATCCGGTCTATTATTGACTTGCCTAATTTGGATCTTGAATTCTTTCATAATAAAGAAAAACTTCAGAACATAAAACATGAGATGCAAAAAGAAAACTTGGCAAGTGCTTATAAAAAAGGTACAAAACCTCTTCATGAAGTAACAGAATAGAAGCTTGCAATAAAACTCAGGATAAGGATAACAATCTCTTGAAAGAGAAAAAGAAAGACAGAAATAGAGATTACAAACATACCCAAGTCTGCACAAGAATAGAGAACTTTGGAACTTGACCATCTAGAACAAACACATTAAAGGTGTGGTACACATAGACCTAAGAAGCAATCATGCAATTAAATAAGATAGCCATCAGTTTATATAATAGTTTTGTTATCTTATGTAAAAATTCTTTCTTGAGTCGAGCCCATAGTTATATTGAGAAAACTTTTCATGTCATCAAATGCTCAATAAATGTTTTGTGTAATCCCATTATCTTGTTTACATCCACACTTCTAAATTGTCTTACAAACACCAGCTAATCAGTTCACTGATATCAATAGTTATTATTGAAAATAATATTCATGTTCTCATATTTACAACTTTGTAATGATTTCCGGCTAACATATTCTTCTATTAGTTCCTTTTTCTACATTGATCTATCTTCTTTGCAGTTAATGGTTCTGATCAAAAGTCTAATTTCACTGAGCTGTATAGTGCAACTACCGATAGATAGGTCAAATTAATGAGGATCAAAGTGAAGGACATCTTTCTAGGAAATGAATCATTCCCTCCCCCTCCTATGACTCTTCTACCTGCTTATTTTACCACAGATGACTATGCCGAAAGTAAAAACATGAAATGTCAATAAGTAGGAAAATTTTGAATACAAATTATGTCAATAAAACAAACTAAAAACCATCTTGAAACTGTTATCTATAAAACAAATGATGGAAGTAGCAAAGCTTTTATAAAACAAGAAGTTGTTAATTGCTCAACATGTAAATAGACAAAAAAATGTAGAAACAAACAGGATTAACAAAACAATTTGCAAAAGGTCACGAATCCAAGCATATTAAAGTTATTTAACAAAACAAGTATTTTACACAATAGCTAATAGCCATAAACATAGAAAGTATACCATCGAAAGTTATTCATAAATAAAAAAACAAAAGCCACAACATTCATGCAACTACAGGACACCCTCAACCTAGCGCTAAAAACATGACAAATGAAGATAAAGCTAAATACATTGACGATAATGTACAATTATTCAATAAAAATAAACATAAAGTAAGACCCCGAGGATAATACGCAATACAGGTTTCTTTCAACCTTGCATTCTTTTCGCCCAGCCTTTTCTGGGAATTCCTCCTTTTCCTCCATGCTAATAGGCTGCTGAAATATTAAAATATTAAATAAGTTAACAAACAATGAAAAGTGTATTCTTTTCAAAAGAAAAAAGGCAATCATTCAACAAGTATTGCAATCTTCAGAAACCAAAAGCATATATACTCAAGTAATTAAGAATTACAATGGGGTTCATCCACATGACAGAATCACTTCAGTTCAAGAAAAATGTATCAATGAATCTGAACAATCTTAAATGAGATGGATGTGAATAGAAGTGAAGATCGAAAAAAAAAAAAATCCAAGCACTGCAGAGAATCAAGGAAGACTGTACATAAGAATATGCATATTACAAGTTAAAAAAAATGTAACTTTCAATTACAACATAATTATATAACTGAATGTGTATTACAAATAAAATAAAACCTAGATGACACAATCCGACATTTATTTTTATACAAATCAATTATATTCTATATTCTGTTAAAATCTTTTGTAATTTAGAACAAACAATTTTCAGCGATAAATCCATTACCTATCAACACTTGAAATCTTGAAAAAATTATAAAAAAGTATAATTAAAAATAAAGATAATCATTTAAAAAAACTTCAATCAAACATGAGCCAATAAAATAATGAGAAAACAAATTGTGAAATGATCAAATGATGGATATTTATGATGAGAAATTGTGAAATGACATGTCGTGGGAATTAATGAATGTGCTCCTTTAATCAATTGTGAACTAGTGACCAAATGAAAGATTATTATGATGGGAAATGACCACTGAATGTACCAGATCTGTACAGGCACTAGATGGACTAGTAATGGTCCAAGCAGGTATATGTCTTTGTATTACATCTCATTCATTGTTTTGTAGTCTAAATTCAGTTTATAGATGTCTAATTGATGGTATATCACTAGAAAAGGGGAGAAAAAAACCCTAATAGGGTTTCCTCTTGATTTCTAGAATTTTTTAGGGTAAATCCAAAATCTGGAACATATCAGCATATCGAATGCCTGCTTTTTTTAAGGCTAAATCTGAAATCCAATAGGTACCGATGTACTAACACTCTGTACACCAGTATGACACTAACCATCCCGGTATGAGCCTTAACTAATACACTACCAGTATATGAAATTGTGAACCTTGATTTCAATCAAAAAATTCTATTGACTGGAAGTGAGATTTATTTTTTTTTAACAAAAGAAATAGTATCCTATTGTCATTGTGCATGAAGGACTATTAATACCACACGAAGAACCTAAGAATCTACTTCATACCAATTTGGTTGATAAAAGCAAACAGAGAGCAAGGGCTCAGGATTTAGGATTTTGATTATGGAAGGGAACATCTCAAGAAGGGTTTAAAGCACCAGTCGGTATAGTCAAAATACTAGTTGATATCTTGGTACAGTTGGCAAAATTGGTATAAACTGGTACTTAAAACATTAATTTCAAGTAGTTATTCTTCCTTGTTTCCAACATTTTTAATCATTGTAGACATCCATCGACTTTACATGCTCAATGAACATATTTAACAACTCACCTACCAACATGTACTAAATTTTCCATCTAGTTTAACAAAAACATGTCAAGTTTACAAGTGTTGTGGACCTGTTCAGAATTCCAGCCACAAGGCTTGTTCTTGGGATACTTAAAACTGCAAAGAAAAAAAAAACTGATGCAAATAAGGTTATATAAGGAATACATGAAACTTACTCACATTGAGGAGAATATGTTCAAATATAGCTTGATTCATTAATTAGTTTCACGGTTTTCTACTCAACTAAAAGGCTGCCGTGCTACTACAGCCAACCCGTCAAATACCATATTTGCGTACATGTCTTAAAATTAGAGATAAAGTTAGATTGCCATAGGGATCATAAGATTCCAAAGTTCCATCAATAAGAGGTACACCATTACAAAGTTGCTTCATGACATTCTCATATGAACAAAAGCATAATGTGATGTGTCTTGAAGATCATAAATGCAGACTCATCAGCTCGATTATTTTCAAGGATGGTAAGTACTTTCGAAAAGTGATCCAGCAAGGCAAGCATAAAGCACATTTGTAATACGGAACAAGTTAGTACAGTGAAAGCAATCATACACTTCCACATAAAAGAAAGTTAAAATCACTAAACATTTATTGATATACATACATTTGAAGGAGAGAACAGAAACAACATATAAGATGCTCTTAAGAAACTCCTACAAATCCCAATGATAGACTGTCAAAGAACCAACCTCTACAGATGCTTGAATCAAGTTTTTTTTTTTTGTTGAACATCTGAATCAAGTTAAAATTAACAGAAACTGCTCATTCCAGAGTTCACAACATATGAGGGACATAAACCTAGAATTACAAACTTACATCTGTACAGATCGGTGAAATAGAGCTATAACTCACCTGAACCAATTCTGGCTCCCGAGTTCTTGCCTTCAGATTTTCAAGCTAACAGGAAAAAACAAAGAATTATGTATCAAAGACTCAAATTCCCAAACTTATGATCTAAGAGAACGAACCTGAGTGAGCCTTATTCTCGGAGGATGATTAAACTTGCAGTTGGCTCCGTATCCACAAATCCCAGTCCTCAAGTAGTAAGCACAGTCAAGCTGCCCAGGCCTCTGCGGGTAAGAAATCCCCATACTCCTGTTCTCCCCTTCGTCATCCTTGGACGCGGCATCGACTTTCTTGGACGTCTCCCAGACCTTCTCGACATCAGCTTTCCCCGTCAATCCTTCCTTCTCACCACCCACACCCCCCTCCTCATCCGACTTCTCTCCACGGTCCGCCTCAGTCTCAAAAGCTCCGACTCCTCCAGTGCACTTTTTCTGATCTACAGCGCAGAATTGGAGCTTCTCCGCTATCTTTTCGTCCGGGCCCACCTTCTCGAGGTCGCCATCGATGGCGTCTGTCCCATGGGAAGAAGGGGGAGGAGGGTTAGGAAGAGTACGAAACCCTAACCCCAACTCCTTCACCTCTCCGTTCTCCTCGTCCGCCTTCGGCTGCGCATCGGGTTTTTCCATTGCCATCTTCTTTCCAAAAATAATTAAACCCTAACGCGACGAAAATACTTCATATAAAACTCGAAACAGTGAGAACACAGAGAAAGACAATAAGGGTTCTTTTGGGCCCCACCTTTAGTTCTATTACTTGATGCGATTATAACGCAGCCGAAGCGAACGGGTACCAAATTTACGCGTCGAAAATTCGTCCCTAATTCGACATTAATATATATTATTACGAATTTAAATTATTTTTAGTAGCGTAATGTTATACCAAAATAATCTTGTCATTCCCGTACGCACATGCAAACATGTACTCCGTGGGTCCCACGTGGCCGGCCAAGGTCTGGTGTTGCAATCGGTCGCGGTCACGAGTCACGACGGGATCGTCGTAGTCGTAGTCGTCGTCGTCGTAGTCGTCTGCACGCGCTGTGCACGTGAGAAAATCAATAAAGATGATGCCACGTGTATTTTTCTTGGTTTTCGTGTTTTGTTTCTGAAAACCGAAACAGAAACAACTCCCGAGAAGCATTTTTGTGGTCAGTAGATGGGTCAACACGAGTATGCTCCGTGAAGTCAACTCGTTGCTTTGGAAGTAAGTTTGCTCGAGGGAGACGGAAACACTCGTGCGAAGCAAACAAAAGCTACTTCCCGTTTATTTGGGTGCGAAGAGTTCCCAAAAAATCAGATCAAACACTGAGAATGGTTGCACGGAGGTAAACGCGGTAGAGCATGAAGCTGTTCCATGTACAGTTCAACAGATCTGCCAAATCTTAACAGATACAACTCAGGCTTATCTAACGATTCCATCTATCTATGGCAAGTTTTCAGGGCCGCCAAATCCGCCTCCAAATCCGCCTCCAAATCTTTCACCGAAGATTACGTCTCCAACTGCATCTCTAAGCTTACTCTGGAGTTTTGAAGTCTTCATAGGCCTCTGTTGCTGCCGGAGTAGATTTCTTATCCATTTCTCCTCTTTGAGTTTGGCCTCATGGCTTATCAGGTTGATAACGTGCAGATCGAGGAGAAGGCGAGGGAGAAGTCGATCGACGACTGGCTCCCCATCACGTCTTCCAGGAAGGCGAAGTGGTGGTACTCGGCCTTCCACAATGTCACGGCCTTGGTCGGCGCCGGCGTCCTCAGTTTGCCCTACGCTATGGCGCAACTTGGATGGTAAACATGTGATCGCTGTGAGTCTTTTGGATGTTTGGCTCGGCTTAGCTAAGAACATGGTTGCTTGGGTTCAACGGAGCAGGGGCCCCGGCATTGCAGTGCTCATCCTGTCATGGGTCATCACCCTCTACACGCTGTGGCAAATGGTGCAGATGCACGAGATGGTGCCGGGGAAGCGGTTCGACCGGTACCACGAGCTGGGGCAGCAAGCCTTCGGCGACAAGCTCGGCCTTTGGATCGTCGTGCCGCAACAGCTCACCGTCGAGGTCGGCGTCAACATCGTGTACATGGTGACCGGCGGCAAGTCCCTCAAGAAGTTCCACGATGTCCTCTGCCCCGACTGCAAGTCCATCAAGCTCACCTACTTCATCATGATCTTCGGCTCCGTACACTTCGTGCTCTCCCAGCTCCCCAACTTCAACTCCATCTCCGGGGTCTCCTTGGCAGCTGCTGTCATGTCGTTCAGGTTGATCTGTGTCTTCAGATTACTTCTCCTCCATCATAAAGCGCATGGCTTCCTCAAACCAAACCGTTTGCTTGCCTTGCAGCTACTCCACCGTTGCCTGGGGAGCTTCGGTGCACAGGGGGAAGCAAGCCAACGTGGAGTACGTCTACAAGTCGTCAAGCACCGCAGAAGGCGTCTTCAACTTCTTGAGCGCACTGGGAGATGTGTCCTTTGCGTACGCCGGCCACAACGTGGCGTTGGAGATCCAAGCTACGATCCCGTCGACTCCCGAGAATCCCTCCAAGAAGCCCATGTGGAAAGGCGTCGTCGTCGCCTACATCGTCGTTGCTCTCTGCTACTTCCCCGTGGCTTTCTTGGGGTACTGGGCGTTCGGCAACGGCGTCGCCGACAACATCCTCATTACGCTGAATAAGCCGCGGTGGCTGATCGCCACGGCCAATATTATGGTCGTCATCCACGTTATCGGTAGTTACCAGGTGATTGAGCTCTCTTTTTCGTAGTTCTTCTACTTGTCGTGTACTTGATCTGATCACATAAATACTCATCCATGCAGATCTACGCCATGCCTGTGTTCGATATGATAGAGACAGTGCTCGTCAAGAAGCTGCACTTCCCGCCGGGACTAGCCGTTCGCCTGATTGGACGCAGTACTTACGTTGGTAATCTCCATCTTCCTGCGGCAAAGCCAATGCCTTGACGAGCTTTTCACGTCCGGGAACAACTCATTTAGCTCTTCTCGCCTTGTGCAGCGTTTACGATGTTCGTCGGCATGACCTTCCCTTTCTTCGGCGGACTGCTTGGGTTCTTCGGCGGCTTTGCTTTTGCCCCGACAACATACTTCGTAAGCCTCCGTCCCCTTCATGGAATCCAACAACAAAGAACAAGTAGATGATGATGATGCTTTCTGATCTCTCCTTTTGCAGCTTCCCTGCGTCATGTGGCTTTCTGTTTACAAGCCTAGAAGATTCAGCTTATCTTGGATCATCAACTGGGTAGAACTAAAACACCCTGTGATATCTCATTACCGACGCACTAAAAGATATGTCGCTAAAAGTGTTTTGTTCGTACGTTGCCTCAGATCTGCATTCTGCTCGGAGTTCTGCTGATGATTCTGTCGCCCATCGGAGGACTTCGGCAAATCATAATGGACGCCAAGAGCTACGAGTTCTACTCGTAGGCTGCCGCGATGGACCAATAAATCTGATGGTCTCTCCTATGTGCATAAGTGTAGCCACCTGTAGTGGCTTAATAAATGAGGAGAACATGGTGTAAATACATGTGGAGCTGTTTCTTTTCTTCCTGCTTATCGCTGGTACATATGATCACTGTTCTCTCCTGCAGGCGCTGCGTGAAGCCATCCATCATGCGTGTGTTGTTCTCTAGAGAACATATCAGAGTTCGATTTCACGAGACTGATCGTGATCGGCCAAAGAATGCGACTCCTCGATGTGTGCATGCATACATCTAAACGAAACATCTACTATTAATTAGTCGTCCAACTTATTTTCCCGAAAGTATCGATGCACCACAGACCAAAACTAAATTAAGTAGCTCGGCTTACGTGATCGATTGATCTCTGATATCCTCTCGAGGCTTAGAGGGTAAGAAAAGGGACGAGTTTACAGGGTTGTAGATCGCAGGAAATCAGTGATCAGCTTTCATGTACACTTGTTATACGAATTCTGTGAATGAAGTGAACAAAATTATTCTGCTGCTAACCCCAGAATGATGACGTCGTTAAAGAAGACAAGCAAAACAGGGGAAGGAATAGATTTGAATGCTTGTCGTACACAGGCCAGTGGAGATACATCCAAATGGATCATGTGCTCCAGCGCAATAAGAGCAGGAGATGAGTCCGGAGTTCCATCTGCTTTCACTTTGATTCCTCTACCTTCACTTTGTTTTTGCCCATTTGCAGCACACTGGCATATGAGGCCGTCCTTTAATGATTGATGATGCCACTCTCTCTCTCTCTCTCTCTCTCTCTCTCGCTGTTTCTCTCGTGATGGCATCTGTTTGTGGAGCACAGCAATAGTTGGCTTAACAGCCTATCATTAGCCTTCCATCACATACTTGCTGCGTTTGACATCAGTCCTATCGTACTGAGATGGCGGAGCTGGGGAGCGTTGCGGTGATCCGGTGGCGCGGGGGGAGGCTGCGGAGGCGGCGCGGGGGGACGGTGCGGCTGGGAGGCGAGCGACGACGGAGGCTGGTGCTCGGGCGGAAGCTGGTGCTCCGGTGGCGGCTGGTGGCGGAGCTGCTTGGTCCGATCAAGAAGGCGCTGGTGGAGGCGGCGTCGGGCGGGCTGCTGGTACAGTCGCAGCACCTGCCGTTGCCTTTCATCTGCATCTCCCCATGTCTGACATCCTTGTAATCTCTTTGCTAAGTACCACCATTAGTAACATCTTTTTTGAAGATGAATGAAGAAATCTCTGTCATGTATTTGGATCAGCATCAGACTCTGCCAAAATTCTGTTCGAATTGAGTGGATTCAACACCACTTTAATCTGGGTTTCAAGTTTAGCTTCAAGCTGAGAAAGAAGAGCAGGATTAAACCTATCTCATAATTAATTAGCTCTAAGCCAACATTAAATCTGTAAACCATGCAAGAGAGAGTCCTAAATATTGCCACCACTTAACATCATTATTTATTTTTATTATATGTAATTATTTCTTCTTGGTTTCTTCAAGAAATCAACATATGAAGCCAAATAAATATCCGAAGCTCATCCAAATGAAACTGTCCCAAAACAATTTGCCATCCATTAGGTAATTAAATTATCAGCTTAATATTAGTCTAAAATAGGAGGAAAAATAGCATTAACAACTATAATGGTGTAATCAATTTGTTATGTACGCCACGTGGTTTCTAACGTGTTCGGGTGGCGGGATTCTTCGCCACGCGGCCGTCGTAAAGCCCACGGAGCGGCAGCTGATCTCTGCCCCGCTGCTGCTCACGGAACTGCCCGGAGATGCCGGCACCGTGTTCGTGTTCCTCCGGTAGGGTCCCAGCCACTTGGCGATCATGTACTGGCTCTTGCGCCACGGCGGGATGTGGAGATCCTGCGCCCGGAGCGACCTCTGAACGGCGTCCGCCACCACCCGTACCACTTGCCGCATCGTCTCCTCCCCTGCCACTGCCGCCCGCGGGAGCGCCGCAAGCACAGTTTTGTACGCCTCCGTCGCTCTCGCCACCTCGAACTCTGCCGCGAACTCGAGGTCCACGATGTACCTCATTCCGGCCCCCTCCGCCGCCGCCGACACCACGTCGATGTATTCGTAGCTGCCGGCTTTGAGCCCGCCGGACGAGTCCGACCTCGCCTTGCAGATCCCGGCATTGTAACCCGACGCCCTCAGCCGCGCCATCACCGCTCGACGTAATCCAGCGGCGCCGCAGCAGGTCCTCAGCCCCGAAACCCCCTCAACCACCGAGTAGACGTCTGCCGCGAGCCGGACTCGAAACCGATCCCCCTCCGCGGCAGGGTCCATCAGCTCCCGCACCACCGCAGCGGCGGTGCAGTCAGGATCGTCGGCGTGGTCATCGTCAGAGCTGTGATGGGGGTGCGCCACGGCGCCGACATCAGCGGAGAGGGAGTCACCGTGTGCGTGCTCAAGGAACGCGTGGACGAGACCGGACAGGCTAGGGGAGTCGTGCTCGCTGCCGCTGCTGTCGTAGCCGGACACGCGGTGGCTGTCATCGGCTTCCCGAAGGCGGGCCTTTGCCTTGTCGTCGTCAAGCAAGGTTGTCACCCGCGTCGCCCGAAGGAAGACTGCCATCTAACGTAAGGTCTCAACACTCGTGCACTTCAAAGGAGAGAGAGAAAGAGGTGTCTGTTCTACGAAGAGGAGGAGGTTGGAAGAGGATGAGCAGCTCTTATAAAAGAAGAGAAGAGCAGAGACACGCAGTGGTATGCATCCAAGATTCTTCAATGAGCTAGCTATCTTGCACCTCTCAGGGTGAGAGGGAGGTGGAAGCAGCGCACCCAGGAAACGAAGGAGACACAGAAGAAAACCGTGGGTGGGTCAGTTCGATCGCGGAAGAAGCGGCCTTTTGGATCGAGTCGCCATGAGGAGCGCTTCCCGACGTAGCCAGGCAAGCAAGACGACGCACACACACCCCCCTTGAGGATAACGTCTCCCCCATTGTTGACAGCGGACTAATGTGGCGACTCGATCGAGATGCATGTCATGGCACATACAAGATGACAAGTGCACGTAACTTGAAATGACGTATCTTATTCACGTATGTATGAGTATGTTGACCATTCTTCTTCTTGTTCGTGCAAACATACAGATCGTAGGAAGCTTCTTGTCGCCGAAAGTGAATTGGAAGCATCGACACTGCTGCTTACTGCTTTGGTGCCAGCAAGAAACAGTGGGAGGGTGAAGCAGCCGAAAGAGATGATCCCTGGACATCAATCATGTCATGTCATGAGATCGATGAAATTGATGGCAGTGATCATTTTGGAGTTGCACCCTTCCATATCTTATGAATGCAGTGGAATATCTCTCTCTCTCTCTCTCTCTCTCTCTCTCAACAAGTAAAAAAGAAAGACTTTGACAGCATCTTGCCATATGTCTATTCCTTATGCCTTAATCCAAGCACAGCAGTGTAATTTTCTCTTCTGTAAGTCAATGGTGTTGCAATCTTTTTTTTTTTTAGTTGTAAAGTATTTTTCTTAAAAAAATAATTAGACAATCTATGAATTATCAGATTCATTTCATAGTTTCATATGAAATTTTCTTTGGGTCTGTTCCAATGTAATTTGAATCAGCATGTTTCATTTAGCAAGCATAATGGTAAATCATATATGGAGAGGGTGAACCTCATCAGCTATATATAGGTACATGAGTCTCCATAAGACTCTGATTCGAGTATTTATCGATCGATTCAAATCCAATCTAAGTGGGCCGGGTAGATCATATACCTAAATCCTTCTTGTTGCTATTTCTATCTCACATTATAATCACATTTTGGAATGTATGTTTATGAAATCAAATCCATTTAGGTACTTCAAGCCAATCAAAGTCCAACTTCTATACATATTTTTCGATTGAACCCGTCAAATTTAATTATAAGTTATAAAATCCAATTTAAGTGGGTTGAATAGAATGAATATTTCATTGTCATCTCTAATGTGTGTGTATATATATAT